GAGGTCACAGATGCTGCCTGTCATCAGAAAGAAAGGAAAATGGTTAACATAAAAAAGAGTGTAGGAGGCAAGCCAAGCTCCATAACTTCAGAGAGTCGAGACAAAAGAAGGCATGAAACTGGCAGGAGTTTGGGGTTAAAGGCAGCTCAGGTCATACTTATTTTAATGGGTCATAAAGGCACAGGTCTACTTCAGGTAGAATTGAGCAGTACAGGATACTGTACTGGGCTCTGCTGGCAAACCAACCCCTAATGTAGACATGTACTTAGCAGAGTACACATGTGTCTATAGTAGAAGCAAAAGAGATGCTGAAGCTGCAAATGAAATTAAGAAAGCAATTCCATTTACAATAGATTCAAAAAGAATAAAATACTTAGAAATAAGTTTAACAGAAGTGTATAACATGCACTCTGAAAACTACAAAGCATTGCTGAAAGAAAGTGAAGACCTAAATAAACATAAAGATATCCTATGTTGCTGGGCTCGGTGGCTCAGTCTGTAATCCTGCGCCTTGGAAGGCTGAGGTGAGTGAATTGCCTGAGCCCGTGGGTTCGAGACCCGCTGGGCAACTTGGTGAGACCTCATCTCTACAATAAATCAAAAAATTAGCCAGGCATGGTAGCGTGCGCCTGTAGCTACTTGGAAGGCTGAGGTGGATGTATCGCCGGAGCCCAGCAAGTCGAGGCTGTGGTGGCCGGGAGCGGCCACTGCACTCCAGTCTGGGTGACAGAGTGAGACTCCAACTCAAAAAAAAAAGATATCCTATGTTCATAGATTGGGAAAGTTAATTTTTTTTTTTTTGAGTTGGAGTCTCACTCTGTAGCCGAGGCACAGTGGCACAGTTATGGTCACCACAGCCTCAACCTGCTGGGCTCAGGTGATCCTTCTGCCTCCACCTTCCAAGTATCTGGAACTATAGGCACGTACCACCACGCCTGGCTAATTTTTTATTTATTGTAGAGATGAGGTCTTGCCAAGTTGCCCAGGCTGGTCTTGAACCCCTGGATTCAGGCAATCCTCTCGCCTCTGCCTCCCAAAGTACCAGAATTATAGGCGTGAGCCACCACACCCAGCAGTTAGTATTGTTAAGATGGCAATATTCCCTAAATTGATCTACAGATTCGACCCGTTTCTATAAATATTCCAGCTACTTTTTTTTTTGGCAGAAATTGATAAGCTGATACTAAAATTCATAAGGCAAGTCAAAGGACCCAGCATAGCCAAAGCAATCTTGAAAAAAGAACAAAGTTCAAGGACTCACATGTCTTAATTTCCAAACTTACTGCAAAGCTACAGTGGTCAAGATAGAGTCCTACTGGCATAAGAAAAGACTTACAGATCAATGGAATAAAATTGAGTCTATAAACCCATATATTTATAATCAGCTGATTTGAGACATGGTTGCCATGACAACTCAATGGGGAAAAATAATCTCTTCAACAAATGGTATTGGCAGCTAGATAGCCACATCCCAAAAAACAAAACAAAACTCATTATCCTAAGTAAAAGAAGCCAGGCACAAAATGTCACATGTATGATTCTATTCACATGAAATATGCAGAGTAGGTAAATCTATAGAGAAGGTTAGTAGTTGCCAGGGGCTGGGGAAATAGGGAGCAACTATTTAGAAATAGGTTTAACAGAAGTGTATAACATATACTCTGAAAACTACAAAACATTGCTGAAAGAAATTAAAGAAGACCTAAATAAATGTAAAGATATCCTATGTTGGCCAGGCTCAGTGGCTCAGCCTGTAATCCCAGTACTTTGGGAGGCCGAGGTGAGTGGATTGCCTGAGCCCGTGGGTTCGAGACCTGCCTGGGCAATTTGGCCAGACCTCATCTCTACAATAAATCAAAAATTAGCTGGGCATGGTAGCGCACGCCTGTAGTTCCAGCTACTTGGAAGGCTGAGGTGGAAGGATCGCCAGAGCCCAGCAGGTCGAGGCTGCAGTGACTGGGACCGGCCACTGCAGTCCAGTCTGGGTAACAGAGTGAGACTCCAACTCACAAAAAAAAGATATCCTATGTTCACTTGAATAATTCACATAGGGTTTCCTTTTGAGGTGATAAAAATGTTTTGGAACTAGATAGAGGTAGTAGTTGCACAACATTTATGAGTGTACTAAATGCCATTGAATTGTTCATTTTAAAATGGTTAATTTCAGCCGGGCGTGGTGGCTCATGCCTGTAATCCCAGCACTTTGGGAGGTGGAAGTGAGAGGATTGCCTGAGCCCCCCAGCCTGGGCAGCTTGGTGAGACCTCAACTCTACAATAAATCAAAAAATTAACTGGGCATGGTTGCATTCACCTGTAGTTCCAGCTACTTGGAAGGCTGATGCAGAAGGATTGTCTGAGCCCAGCAAGTTGAGACTGTGGTGGCCTTGAGCATGCCACTGTACTCCAGCCTGGGCGACAGAGTGAGACTCCAACGTGAGACTCCAACTCAAAAAAAAAAAAATTTCATGTTCTGTGAATTTCTGTTTTTAAAAAGGAGGGAAAAAACCTTGAAATAGTACATCACACTCACTAAGGAAATTATAATAAAAAAGACAAAGAATAACAAGTATTGGCAAGGATGTGGAGAAATTGGAACCCCCTCATGTATTCCTACTGGGAATGTAAAATAGTACAGCTACTTTGGAAAACAGTCTGGCAATTTCTCAAGCAGTTAGGAGTTACCATATGACCTAGCAGTTCTACTCCTAGGTATGTATCCAAGAGAAATGAAAACATATACACAAAAATTTATAGATGAATGTTCATGGCAGTATTATTCATAACAGCAAAAGTGGAAATAAATGTACATCAACTGAAAAATTGTTAAATAATATGTGTCATATCCATACAATAGAGATATCTTTTATTTATTTATTTATTGAGTTGGAGCCTCACTCTATCACCCAAGGTGGAGTGCATTGGCATGCTCACAGCCTCAACCGGCTGGGCTCAGGTGAAATTTCCCCTTCAGCCTTCTAAGTGCTGGTACCACAGGTGTGCACCACCATGCCTGGCTAATGTTTTTTGTTTGTTTATTTTTTGAGTTGGAGTCTCCCTCTGTCACCCAGGCTAGAGTGCAGTGGCACGCTCACAGCCACCGCAGCTTCAACCTGCTGGTCTCAGGCGATCCTTCTACTTCAGCCTTCTAAGTAACTGGAACTACAGGTGTGTGCCACCATGCCTGGCTAATGTTTTGATTTATTGTAGAGATGAGGTCTCGCCAAGTTGCCCAGG